CCAACACGGGTGTCTTCTGTCGCTTCCATCAGTTCGGTGGACACGACACCGAATCTTGTGTTGCTTTGCGCAACATCATCGAAGGACTTATTCGCGATGGGAAACTGGATAAATATGTGCACAATCTCCCACCCCCACCTAACCCTCACCAACGGCAGATCAATATGATCTCAACTATCAGTGGTGGTCCCACCCTGGCTGGAACCTCCAACAACTCCATCAAACATTATGTCCGCTCCACCTATGCGCACCAGGTCTTTAGCGCTGAGCAGGGACGCTTGCCGAAGACCCATAAATCAGGCTAGGCTCCCATTACCTTCTGTGAGGAGGAAGAGCGCGGTGTTATCCTCCCTCACGATGACCCAATCATTATTCGCGCTGACATTTCTAACTTTGATGTGGGGCGTATCCTGGTGGACACTGGCAGTTCCGTCAGCGTGATATTTGCTGAGGCCTTCAACGAGCTCCAGGTCCCATCTCACCTGCTCGACCGAAGCATCACACCCCTAGTGAGCTTCTCTGGTGAGGTGGTCCAGCCCATTGGAAGCATTCATCTCCCAATCTCTCTTGGATCGGCACCCCAACGAAGGACAATCACCACTCCCTTCCTTATTATTGACTGCCCCACAGCCTACAATGTCATCCTTGGCCGCCCCGCCATGGCCCAAATGAAGGTCTTCATCTCCACCCACATGCTGCTGCTCAAGTTTCCTACGCCTCATGGCACAGGCACGGTGCGCGAAGACCAGCTTGGCGCCCGCAGCTGCTACGCTTCGGCTGTAAGGTCCACCAACCGCCAACATCGGGGCGAGGCCTTCGCGGTAACCCAGACTCCAGCACCAGTTCAAGCTGGCACCAAGCGTCCAGAGGACCCTAGGAAGGAATCTGTCACCCCACAGGCCGAACCTATGGAAGACCTTGAGCTGGTTACTCTTGATGAAAATATCCCGGACCGGCAGGTCCGGATCGGCACCTCTCTCTCCCAGGAGCTTCGTTCTGATCTTGTCGCCTTCCTTCGCCGTCATTCTGAGGTCTTCGCCTGGTCATACAATGACATGCCAGGCATATCACCTGAGATCATATCCCACCGGCTAAGCATTAATCCTGCCGTTCGACCCGTTCGGCAAAGGCGTCGTGCTTATGACCCAGAGCGATATGAAGCCATGCGATGGACAAGCTAACTAGCATTGAATTTATCAAGAAGGTGGACTATCCCACTTGGCTGGCCAATGTGGTGATGGTTCGCAAGGGCACAAAGGGCTGGCGCATGTGTGTACACTACACCAACCTCAATCGGGCCTACCCGAAGGATAGCTTCCCCCTACCCCGCATCGACCAACTAGTTGATGCCACAGCTGGCCACGCCCTCCTCAACTTCATGGATGCTTACTCTGGGTACAACTAGATTTTCATGCATCCTGAGGACCAAGCCCACACCTCCTTCATCACGGATCGTGGCCTTTACTGCTACAAAGTCATGCCCTTCGGTCTCAAGAATACCGGGGCCACATATCAGCGTCTGGTAAACGCCATCTTCGCTCCCCTCATTGGCCACACCATGGAGGTTTATGTTGATGACATGCTCGTCAAGAGTCGCACTACTGACCAGCACATCCCCAACCTCTCAGCCATGTTCACCATTCTGAAGCAGTATAAGATGAGGCTCAACCCCACCAAATGCGCGTTTGGGGTGGCTTCAGGCAAATTCCTTGGCTTCATGATCAGCCAGAGGGGTATTGAGGCCAATCCAGAGAAGATCAAGGCCATACTAGACATGGCAATACCCAGGACGATCAAGGACATCCAGAGCCTTACCGGGCGAGTCGCAGCCCTGACCAGATTCATCTCAAAGGCCACTGATCGCTGCGCCCCCTTCTTTAAGGCACTTAAGGGTAGCAAGCGGAGTATTACCTGGACCGCTGAGTGCGACGAAGCTTTCAACGAGCTGAAGGCGTATATAGGCCGAGCCCCTTTATTGTCAACACCTGAGCCTGGAGACACCCTCATGATCTATCTCTCCGTCTCGGCTACA